GGGGATTTGTGGCACAACATTCTGGATGGTCATCTCTGTTCCTCTTCCTCTGCAGCTCTTGCCGTCCGGTTCCTCACTCGACGCTTCATTGGAGAGTACAGCCATATTGGTGAGGAGACTATCTCCCTGGGTGTGGGTGCATGGTTGTGGGGGAGGGGGTGTGGGGGTGTGGGGAGGGAGGGATTTGGTAGAGGACGGGGATGGATGAATCCATGTACCTCAGTGCCCCCCCGCCTCCCCAACCCCGGGTTCAGTGTCAGAGGGTTGTGGGGGGGGGCCTCTCCTATTGGGCAAGAGACCACCCGATGGAGCCAGGTTTGCGATCCGACCGCGACGCACTCTGTAGTCGAATAGCCGCAGGCTCAGTCGACCACCCCCTGTTTTGTCTCGGCAGAAACCATTTACACTCACAACGTGACCATCGACGGTGCGGAGACTCGCTTCCATGTTTGGGACTCTCCGAACCCCCAGGTGATTGTGGTGGTGGTGGTGGGGGGGTGGATTGTGTGGGACGGGGTGAGGTCTCTGGGTGGTGGGGAGGGGAGTGGAGACAAGATATCCGTTTTATCTCAGTGCCAACGCTTGCCCTGTTGGGCGTGCCATTCTCCAATGGGGTCAGGATTGGGTCTGATTGCGATGCACCCTAAGGGCGAATAGCCGGTAGCCATTCACTGTGGTTGGGGGTGGGGGGTGTGTGGGGAAAGGGGGCTGAGGGTGAGCTGTCTGGAGAGCGGGTGGATGGGGTAAGTAGGAAGACATCCATTTACCTCCTACCCTGTTGGACGTGCCATTCTCCAATGGGATCAGGATTGTGTCTGATTGCGATGCACCCTAAAGGCGAATAGCTGATAGCAATTCACTGTGGTTGGCGGGGGGGAGGTGGCTTCCTGCGGCAAGGGTGGGGGGTTGAGAAGGGGGCTTCGATCTTGTCTTCCGAAAGTGCCAGCCCGGAGCTCACCCCCACCCTCTCCTTTCCCTTCTGCCCCCCTCCCTCAGTGCCGCGGGGCGATGGCCCACCCGAGCGAGCAGCAGATGCGCTGGGCCGACGGTTTCGTCCTCGTCTACAGCATCCTCGACAGGCGGAGCTTCGAGGTGGCGCGGTGGCAGCTGGCGTGGCTCCATCGGGAGGCAGGCAGCGCCCGGGCCCCCGTGGTGCTGGTGGCCAACAAGACTGACCTGTGCCACCGGCGGGTGGTCTCGGTGGAGGAAGGGCGCCTCCTGGCGCTGGGCAGCGGCTGCGCCTTCCTGGAAGTCTCGGTGGCCGAGAGCTACCACACGGTCGCCCTGGCCTTCCAACAGCTGATGGCAATGGTGCAGGGGTCCAGGGCAGTGCCCAAACGGGCAGCGGGGCTACGGGGCATCGTTCGCAGCATGTCTGCCGTGTTCGGGGGCAAGCGCCGAGTGGACTAACGGACGGAGGAGGACCATTCAGCCCTTCCCCTACGCCATTCTATCTGCTCGCAGCCCCTTCTGGTTTTGACTCCATTCCCGTGACGCCAGACGAGATTTCAACCCCTCAGCCCATAGGGCCACACAAAACAGCAACAGTAGGAGGCCATTCTGCCCATGGTCCACCATTCTATCAGATCAAGGCTGATCTGACTCCACCTCCCCCCCCCCCCCCCCCGTATCGCCCCTCGAATCGTTAAGAATCGATTTCCCTCCGCCCCTCCCTCCCGCGCCCTCGAGTCCTTGAGAAACGATCTCCCTCAGCCTTAATAAAAAAATTTAAAGACTCTGCATTTTGAGGCATGTAGCTCCTGAGACTCACCAAACCCCCAGAGATACTGATGTTTCCTCCTCTCTGTTTTAAGTTGGGTGAACCCCCACCATCATTTTTTGAACACTGACCCCTGGTTCCAGATTCTTCCACGACAGACGTGGAGATCCACAGGGCCAAAGAAGGCCCTTTCACTCATTGAGTCTGTGCTAGTCACCTTTTGTATTCAAATGCCATTTTCCAGCACTTAGTCCATAGCCTTGGCATCGCAAGTGCACATCTCAATACTTATAGAGTCATACAGTACCAAAACAGACTCTTTGATCCAACCTGTCCGTGCCGACCCAGATATCCTAAATTAATCCAGTCCCATTTGCCAGCATTTGGCCCATATCCCTCTAAACGCTTCCTATTCATGTACCCATCCAGATGCCTATGAAATGTTGTAATTGTACCAGCCTCCACCACTTCCAGCTCCTTCCATACACACACCACCCTCTGTGTGAAAAAGTTGCCCCTCAGGTCCCTTTTAAATCTTTCCCCCCTCACCTTAAACCAATGCCCCTCTAGTTTTGGACTCCCCCAACCCAGGGATAAAGACCTTGGCTATTCACCTTATCCATGCCCCTCATGATTTTATAAACTTTTGCAAGGTCACCTCTCAGTGTCCAACACTCCAGGTAAAACAAAAAAACCCAGTCTATTCAGCCTCTCCCTGTAGCTCAAACCCTCCAACTGTGGCAACATCCTTGTAAATCTTTTCTGCATCCTCTCAAAAGTTTAACAACATCCTTCCCGTAGCAGGGAGACCAGAATTGAACACAGTATTCCAAAAGTCGCCCTAACCAATGTCCTGTACAGCCGCAACATGACCCTCCCAACTCCTATACTCAATACACTGAAGGTAAGCATACCAAACACCATCTCTATCATCCTGACTACCTGTGGCTCCAATTTCAAGGAACTATGTGCCTCTAGGTGTCTTTGTTCAGCAACATTCCCGTGGGCCCTACCATTAAGTGTATAGGCACTGCCCTTGCTTGTTTTACGAAAATGCAACACCTTGCATTTATCTAACTTAAACTCCACCTGCCACTCCCGGGCCCATCTGCTCAAGGTCCCTTTGTACTCTATGACTTTCTTCACTGTCCACTACACCTCCAATTTTGGTGTCATCTACAAACTGACCAACCGAAACCCCTATATTCACATTCAAATTTATTGTTATCAATGACGAAAAGCAATGGACCCAGGACTGATCCCTGTGGCACACCGTTGGCCACAGGCACCCAGTCTGAAAAGCAACCCTCCACCATGCACCCTCTGTCTCCCACCTTCAAGCCAATTTTGTATCCATTGGGCTAACTGCCCCAGATCCCATGTGATCCAACCTTTTCATCCAGTCTACCGTGTGGAACTTCATCGAACCTCTTCAATGAAGTGAGGGTTTCTCTCTCCACCGTGCTTCCAGGCAGTGAGTTCCAGTTCCCACTACCCTCTGGGTGACAATAATTTTCCTCATTTCCCCTTTAAACCTCCTGGCCCTGACCTTAAATCTATGCTCCCTCCAAGGGGAGAAAAGGTTCCTTCCTGTTTTCCCAATCGATGCCACTCATCAGTTTATACCCATGAAGAGGAAACATCTGCTCGGTCAAGTCCCCTCAAGATCTTAAATGGTTCAATCCACCTTCTACACTCTCGAGGGTACAGGCGTAACCTCTCATAAGAAATTCACTCATTCCAGGTATTAATCTCATACACCTTCTCTGAACTCCTTCCAATGCATTGTACATACAGTAACCAGAGAGAACAATGGATTTGGTGGAGGCTGGTACAATTAGAACATTTAAAAGGCATCTTAGATGGTTATGAATAAAAAGGGTTGAGAGAGATATGGGCCAAACGCTGCCAAAGGGGGCTAGGTCAGATTGGGTTGCCTGGTCAGCACAGATGAGTTAAACCAAGGGGTCTGTTTCCATGCTGCATAACTGCAAACAGAACCACCAACCCTTGCATAACTGAAGAACAATCCGCTTACTTTCACATTCAATTCCCCTCAGAAACTTTCTGTTAGCCTTCCTCATTAGCTGCCCAGAGCAGGACCCCAACCCCACAGCTCTCCTTACTGCGATGCCTCCCATGGTCGACAAGCCTGCCGACAGACACCGCTCCTGGAGGACTGCCTGACCCCTTCAGAGGAGGTCACATTGAACTCACTTCGAAGAAGTTGACATTTGAACAGCAGACAAATTGTGTTGTAGCAATTGTTGTGGGTATTGTAAATGACGTTCATTTTGTTACTGATGTAAATCTCTATTTATGACTGAAATGGTCTGTACATATTTCTCACGGCGTTAATGTGTTCTGTAAATGGCCAGGATCCCCTGTAATAAATTCACTGCTCTGTTACGTTATGAGAAATGACTTGTTGAATCCATCATTTAAGACCCTATGAGTCAGGAAGCCTGTCTTCAGACAACGGTGCAGGGAAATCTCGGGGACTTCCTAACTCAACACCTGAAAATAAAACATGCTTTTGAGGCTGGAGGTCCTTCATGAAGGGTGGGTGACTCATGGTGAGGGGATGGAGGCAGGCAGATGGAGTTAATGCACAGATCAGACCCGATCTAATTGAGTGGTGGGACAGGCACAACCAGGTTTAATGGCCTCCTCCTGTTCCTCAAGAGGGAACTGCAGTGACTGCATTTGTGAGCATGTGTGTTAGTGTGAGTGTATTTGTGAGAGAATGAGTGTGTGTGAGAGAGTCAGAGCCTTTGTGTGTGTAAGTCAGTGTATTTGTGTGTATGTGAGTGTGTGTGTGAGTGTGTGTATTTGTATGTATCTGAGAGTGTGTGTGCGCTAGCGAGTCGGTGTATTATGTGGATGTGAGAGTATGTGTGTGAGTGAGTCAGTGCATTGTGTGTATGTGAGAGTGTGTGTGCGAGTGAGTCAGTGTATTGTG